GCCTGCTCCCCCTCTCCAGCCCAGAGCCCCCCCACTTCCCAGCTGGGCATCTGAGATCACTGGCCTCAAGCTCCGCCTCTGTCCATTGTCTTCTCTCCAGGTAAACAGGGTCGTAAACCGGGGCCTCCTCTCCCCTCTTCTGTCCTCTGGCTGGTACCGGCTGGTTAGGTCACTGGGTCCTCACTCTGCAGCCCATTGTCCGCCCACTGCCAGAACTGGCTGCGTCTCTGGGTCACCAGGTCGCCAGGTCACCGGTCACTGGGGTATCCATCCTCCCGGCCATCGGCTGGGTCCCCAAGTTCTCTCTCCGGTACTCTGCAGAAGCAAACTCCCTCTCCCCTCACCTCGTTAAACCAGTAATACCCAGGGAAACTGGGTCCCACCCCCTCCGCATGCAAACCATTGAAACGCCGCAGAAAACAAGAAAAAAATCCACGTCGTCACAACATGCGGCACCGTGAAGGGTCCAGTCTTCCCTTTGTTATGGGCACATAGTTGCCCTTGTCACCCAGACTTGTATTCTCATCCCAAACAATGCCAGGCTTGTTTGACAGAATCTCTTCTCTGTAAGACCATGCTAAATGGTAGGCTGCCATTCCTAATACTGTCCTAACTGCATTCCATATCAGCCTTCTATGACTTTGTAGAAGATGTTTCATCCCCCTGGAGAATGAATTCCTATCCCGTCGGACTGTCCCTCTAGTATGGGGCTGAGAGGAACGGGCAGGATGGCGCAGGATGTTTCCAATGCCCCTTCCTTTGGTGTGTCTGACATGACGGGAGCGCACAGCAGCGGAATTGCACTGGCCCGGCTGCACTGGGCACTTAAGAGTTTGCATTGACTGGGACTGGGTTTCTCTCCTCTAACCCTGCAGGAGCGGGTGGTGTTGGAGGCCTGGTGCCCGGTGTTGGCGGTGTCCCAGGCGTGGTGCCCGGTGTTGGCGGTGTCCCTGGCTTGGTGCCCGGTGTCGGCGGTGTCCCAGGAGTTGGAGGTGAAGTTGCGTGATTGGCCCTGTCGTTGGTCCTGTGGGGTTGTGTTCTCCCCGTCTCACAGCCCTGACTCTCTCTCTACTGTGTCCCAAACAGCTGGACTTCCAGCAGGAGCGGCAGCAGCAGCAGCAGCAAAAGCCGCCAAGTACGGTAAGCTGGCTCCCTCCCCCTTCTTCTTCCATGCAGCCCGTAGTGATGGGGTGCCCGCCTGTCACTCCTGGAACCGTGTAGCTCCTGGGGTCCGAGCCCAGAGACCGTCTGTCCCTTTGGGAGCGATCAGCAGAGCCACTGGCCTGTCTGGGAAGTACTCACATCCCTCCCCTCCCCGTTCCCCAGGGAGCTTCGTCCCGTCCTGCATCATGCAGCACAGAGAGCTCCTGCGTTTGGTCCACTGGCGATGGGGAGCAGGGTGGCCAGCGAGCGAGTTGGGAGCCCAGCCCCAGCTACAAGCCAGGCTCCCTGCAGGCAGCAGAGAGTGTGGGGAAGCCTACGACAGTGTGACGGCACAGAGCACGTTCCCCTGTCACTCTGGGCAGGCTGCTATCCCGTGGCTTAGTTTGGAGGGCTGCGGGCAAAGCCGTTTTGGATGCGCCGGTCAGTGAATTCCCAGAGCCCCTCATGATCTTTTCAGCTCCATCATCAGCCTGTGTGAATCCACTTCATACATAACGGCCTCAGTTCCCAGTCCATCAAGCACACGCTGCAGCATGCAAGAAGGCAGAGAAGGGCCACCTGGTCCCAGAGGGACCTATCGTCAGCAATGTAAATTAAAGTTCCCCCCTGCACCTTATCTTAGTTTGGGGCCAAGTGCTGAGGATCTGGGAGAAACAATTGACCCGCGTTGGCCATCCAGTTTGTCTGCGCTCTGACCGGAACCATGAAGGCTCCAGTCCTCCCTTTGTAATGGCCACATAGTTGCCTTTGTCTCCCCAACTGTATTCTCCTCACATGCTAAGACCATGCTAAATGTCATGGTGCCATCCTTAATACTTTCCTGACTGCATTTCGTATCAGCCTTTCCATGACCTTGCCCAGGATTGCTGTCAGGCTACCTGGCCTATAGCTACCCAGGTCATCCCACTTTCCCATTTGAATACTGGCACATATTGGCATTTTTCTAGTCTTCTGGGACTTGCCCAGGTTTGAAGATGTATTACATAGAAACATCAACAGCTCTGGGACCACCTTGGCCAGCTCTTTTAAAACTCTTGGGTGTAGGTTATCCAGTCTGGCATGTTTGTATAACTTTAGCAGCTGCTTTTTAACATCCTCCCTAGTCCCTGCTGGAGTAGAAGATGTTTCATCCCCCTGGAGAATGAATTCCTATCCCGTCGGACTGTCCCTCTAGTATGGGGCTGAGAGGAACGGGCAGGATGGCGCAGGATGTTTCCAATGCCCCTTCCTTTGGTGTGTCTGACATGACGGGAGCGCACAGCAGCGGAATTGCACTGGCCTGGCTGCACTGGGCACTTATCGTTTGCATTGACTGGGACTGGGTTTCTCTCCTCTAACCCTGCAGGAGCGGGTGGTGTTGGAGGCCTGGTGCCCGGTGTTGGCGGTGTCCCAGGCGTGGTGCCCGGTGTTGGCGGTGTCCCTGGCTTGGTGCCCGGTGTCGGCGGTGTCCCAGGAGTTGGAGGTGAAGTTGCGTGATTGGCCCTGTCGATGGTCCTGTGGGGTTGTGTTCTCCCCGTCTCACAGCCCTGACTCTCTCTTTACTGTGTCCCAAACAGCTGGACTTCCAGCAGGAGCGGCAGCAGCAGCAGCAGCAAAAGCCGCCAAGTACGGTAAGCTGGCTCCCTCTCCCTTCCATGGGGTATTCCTGGTATAGAGGGAATCTGTGCGGTGCAAGGCTGGCTGAGTTGACTTTGCACCCCCAGCTGGCTCTGCCATCTAGTGCTGGGCGAGTCAGGGGGCGTATTGGGGAAGAAGAAAGGTGGTGTCAGGTGAAGGAGAGGAAGGGCACTTCGGCTGAGGGAGAGGAGAGGTGTGTCAGGCCGTATTGGGAGTGTCAGGTGAAGGAGGGGAAGGGTTGTCAGAGAGAGGGGTGTGTTGGAGTGGAGGAGGGGGTGTCAGCAAGGGAGGGGAAAGGCAGCCGTGGGACGGGAAGGGCATGTTCGGTTGGAGGAGGGGGTGTCAGGTGGGGAAGGAGAGAGGGGGTCAAAGTGAGGGAAAGGAGGGCATCTCCCAGAACTAGGTTCTGCTACAGATAATTTCCCACTGGCACCTGGTCCCAGAGGGACCTATCGCCAGCAATGTAAATTAACGTTCCCCCCTGCACCTTATCTTAGTCTGGAGCTGAGTGCGGAGGATCTGGGAGTCACGACTAGCCCCCGTTGGCCTCCTGCTTTGTCTGCGCTCTGACCGGGAACCATGAAGGCTCCAGTCCTCCCTTTGTAATGGCCACATAGTTGCCTTTGTCTCCTCAACTGTATTCTCCTCACATGCTAAGACCATGCTAAATGTCATGGTGCCATCCTTAATACTTTCCTGACTGCATTTCGTATCAGCCTTTCCATGACCTTGCCCAGGATTGCTGTCAGGCTACCTGGCCTATAGCTACCCAGGTCATCCCACTTTCCCATTTGAATACTGGCACATATTGGCATTTTTCTAGTCTTCTGGGACTTGCCCAGGTTTGAAGATGTATTACATAGCAACATCAACAGCTCTGGGACCACCTTGGCCAGCTCTTTTAAACTCTTGGGTGTAAATTAGCCAGTCTGGCATGTTTGTATAACTTTAGCAGTTGCTTTTTAACATCCTCCCTAGTCCCTGCTGGAGTAGAAGATGTTTCATCCCCCTGGAGAATGAATTCCTATCCCGTCGGACTGTCCCTCTAGTATGGGGCTGAGAGGAACGGGCAGGATGGCGCAGGATGTTTATAATGCCCCTTCCTTTGGTGTGTCTGACATGACGGGAGCGCACAGCAGCAGAATTGCACTGGCCCGGCTGCACTGGGCACTTAGAGTTTGCATTGACTGGGACTGGGTTTCTCTCCTCTAACCCTGCAGGAGCGGGTGGTGTTGGAGGCCTGGTGCCCGGTGTTGGCGGTGTCCCAGGCGTGGTGCCCGGTGTTGGCGGTGTCCCTGGCTTGGTGCCCGGTGTCGGCGGTGTCCCAGGAGTTGGAGGTGAAGTTGCGTGATTGGCCCTGTGGTTGGTCCTGTGGGGTTGTGTTCTCCCCGTCTTACAGCCCTGACTCTCTCTCTACTGTGTCCCAAACAGCTGGACTTCCAGCAGGAGCGGCAGCAGCGGCAGCAGCAAAAGCCGCCAAGTACGGTAAGCTGGTTCCCTCCCCCTTCTCCTTCCATGCAGCCCGTAGTGATGGGGTGCCCGCCTGTCACTCCTGGAACCGTGTAGCTCCTGGGGTCCGAGCCCAGAGACCGTCTGTCCCTTTGGGAGCGATCAGCAGAGCCACTGGCCTGTCTGGGAAGTACTCACATCCCTCCCCTCCCCGTTCCCCAGGGAGCTTCGTCCCGTCCTGCATCATGCAGCATAGAGAGCTCTTGCGTTTGGTCCACTGGCGATGGGGAGCAGGGTGGCCAGCGAGCGAGTTGGGAGCCCAGCCCCAGCTACAAGCCAGGCTCCCTGCAGGCAGCAGAGAGCGTGGGGAAGCCTACGACAGTGTGACGGCACAGAGCACGTTCCCCTGTCACTCTGGGCAGGCTGCTATCCCGCGGCTTAGTTTGGAGGGCTGCGGGCAAAGCCGTTTTGGATGTGCCAGTCAGTGAATTCCCAGAGCCCCTCACCAGGGCCCATGTGTGATGGGTTCCTCAGGGTGAAACCTGGACCTGGGATACCGTTGAGCCCTCTGTCTCACCAACCTGGACTCCCTCTCACACTGTGACAAGCTGCAAATCTCTTCAGGTACGACACTTACACAGACATCCACGGGCAGGGACACACCCAGCTGAGTTACTTGAATGCTTTTGCCAGCCACTTACTAACCAACAAGAGGGGCTCCAGCCAATTCCCGCAGCTCCCCAGCCTAGGACCCCAGGGCTGTATTGTCCTGCCCTGGTCAGAAGCCTGACCAGTGTAAGGTTTCAGAGTAGCAGCCGTGTTAGTCTGTGTCCGCAAAAAGAACAGGAGTACTTGTGGCACCTTAGAGACTAACAAATTTATTAGAGCATAAGCTTTCGTGGGCTACAGCCCACTTCTTCGGATGCATAGACTGGAACACACAGACAGAAGATATTTATACATACAGAGAACAGGAAAAGGTGGGAGTAGCCATACCAACTGTAAGAGGCCAATCAATTGAGATGAGCTATCATCAGCAGGAGAAAAAAAACCTTTGAAGTGATAATCGAGATGACCCATTGAAGGTGTTAGGATACTGAACATGGGGAAATAGATTCAATTAGTGTAATGACCCAACCATTCCCAGTCTCTGTTCAAACCTAAGTTAATTGTATCTAATTTGCATATTAATTCAACTTCAGCAGTCTCTCTTTGGAGTCTGTTTTTGAAGTTTTTTTGTTGCAAAATTGCCACCTTCATGTCTGTTACTGAGTGGCCAGACAGGTTGAAGTGTTCTCCCACTGGCTTTTGAATGTTGTGATTCCTGATGTCAGATTTGTGTCCATTTATTCTTTTGCATAGAGACTGTCCGTTTTGGCCAATGTATATGGCCGAGGGGCATTGCTGGCACATGGTGGCATATATCACGTTGGTAGATGTGCAGGTGAACGAGCCCCTGATGACGTGGCCAATGTAGTTAGGTTCTATGATGATGTCACTTGAATAGATATGTGGACAGAGTTGGCATCGGGCTTTGTTGCAAGGATAGGTTCCTGGGTTAGTGTTTATGTTGTATGGTGTGCGGTTACTGGTGAGTATTTGCTTCAGGTTGGTGGGCTGTCTCCCAAGATCTGTGAGAGTGAGGGATCATCTTTCAGGATAGCTTGTAGATCTTTGATGATGCGCTGGAGCGGTTTCAGTTGGGGGCTGAAGGTGATGGCTAGTCATGTTCTATTATTTTCTTGGTTGGGCCTGTCCTGTAGTAGGTAACTTCTGGGTACTCGTCTGGCTCTGTCAATCTGTTTTTTCACTTCAGCAGGTGGGTATTGTAGTTTTAAGAATGCTTGATAGAGATCTTGTAGGTCTTTGTCTCTGTCTGAGGGATTGGAGCAAATGCAGTTGTATCTTAGAGCTTGGCTGTAGACAGTGGATCGTGTGGTGTGTCCTGGATAGAAGCTGGAGGCATGTAGGTAAGTATAGCGGTAAGTAGGTTTCCGGTATAGGGTGGTGTTTATATGACCATCGCTTATTAGCACAGTAGTGTCCAGGAAATGGACCTCTTGTGTGGATTGGTCTAGGCTGAGGTTGATAGTGGGATGGAAATTGTTAAAATCATGGTGAAATTCCTCGAGGGCTTCTTTTCCATGGGTCCAGATGATGAAGATGTCATCAATGTAGCGCAAGTAGAGTAGAGGTGTTAGGGGACAAAAGCTAAGGAAGCGTTGTTCTAAGTCAGCCATAAAAATGTTGGCATACTGTGGGGCCATGCGGGTACCCATAGCAGTGCCACTGACTCGAAGGTATACATTGTCTCCAAATGTGAAATAGTTGTGGATGAGGACAAAGTCACAAAGTTCAGCCACCAGGTTTGCCGTGATATTATCGAGGATACTGTTCCTGACGGCTTGTAGTCATTCCACACTTTTGTGTGGAATGTTGGTGTAGAGGGCTTCTACATCCATAGTGGCCAGGATGGTGTTTTCTGGAAGATCACCGATGAAGTGGGCTGTAGCCCACGAAAGCTTATGCTCAAATAAATTTGTTAGTCTCTAAGGTGCCACAAGTACTCCTGTTCTTTTGACCAGTGTAAGTTCATTACCCAGTCTGCTAATCCCTCAATGCAGAGAGGACACACACCAGCTTTGTAAACTGAGCTGAGATTTCCCAAACACTTCAACCAAAACACACGGTCTTAGGTAAAATATAAAACAGATTTATTAATGAAAGACAGAGATATTTAAAGTGATTATAAGTAGTAAGCGTAGAGATCAAAGTTGGTTACCTCAGAAATAAAAGTAGAAGTGCAATCTGAGTTCTATGAACTAGATAGGATTTGAATCAAGCAGTGTCTCACCCTAATGGTACAGTTCCTTCTGGGATTCCTCTTTTCAGCCTGAGACCACCTCCCCTGTTCAAAGGCTTTATTCTCCAGACATGTTTCCAGGTGTTGAGTTGTGAGGGGAGTGAGGCCAAGTGATGATGTCACTTCCCCTCCTTTATAGGTTCTTCCAGCTTGCTGGAAAAATCTTTTGCTATGACCTGAGTCAAAAATTGTCCATTGTTTACCTTCTCCTTCTGAGAATCTTCATTGTACACAGACGGGTTCGGTCACAGAGACTCTCTTCGAGACTGTCACTCAATTAGCTGGGATACCACTGAGAACATTCCTCGTGCCAGAAAAGGCACCCCTCCACTCCTGTCTTGCTGAGCCAGACACTCCAGTCAGCTCCAGCACAGACCCAGAGGTTGGGCCACACCTCTCTGCAGTTCACAGAACCTGAGATT